TATAAAGCTGAACGAACATTTGTTCGCACCGTACGCGCTGCTTTTTCGGATGGCCTCGCACATAAGTACGTACGCGCTGTACGTGTCGTACGCAATTCTTTCGTATTGCCAACAACTTTTACAATGTTTTCCAATGACTGGTGTGAAACGGTACAGTGACATTGGTCACTCGGATCGCTGTGGAAAAAATGTAGTAATAGTCTGCTTATTGGCAGAGGAAGATGAAAATAAAATTCGAAGAGAACAAAATTCTGTATTCATAATATTAATTTAAACAGGCAATTATATGGATGAACGATTTTTAGATATTTGCATTTAACACAACAAGAAATTTCAAGAATTGCTATATATAATAATAATATAATAATATTTCACAACTATCTCACAACGCCAGCTAGTCCCAAGCTAAGCAGAGCTTGTGTTATGGGTACTAGACAACTGATAAACATACTTATATATTTCTAAATACATACATATTATAGATAAATTACACCCAGACACAGAACAAATGATCTCGCTCATCACACAAACATTTGTCCTGGGTGGGAATCGAACCCACGACCTCCAGCATAGCAGTCAGGGTCACTAACCACTAGACCAACTGGCCTGTCAAACCCGAAGTATAATATACTAAAACTATATTCGTCTATGGAAGATTTGATAGCCAATTGAACCGGAGGAAAAACTTGTTGTATGTTTGAGGTAAGTATTTTACTGATAATTAAGTACTTAATCAAAATCAAAAAATAAATATGTAATTACGTATGTACCTACATAAATAACTGCTGAAGATAGTTAGTTTTTAAAGGCTTTTAAATAAGTGTAATCCTACTTCAAATTTAATCTCTGGTATTGTACCTCCAACCAGCTTGTACAGTCCACCCTAGCTTTCAAAAATTTACGAAGCACTAAAATAAATGAAACAAACGTAACTACTGATCTCGGGCTCCCAGTTAAATCTTTTTTATAGCCACCACCCATTTATTGGCTAATTCAAGGCTTTTCGGAAATTTGAAATTAGAGAAGTATTTAACTGTATTAATCTTTATTATGTACCTATAAAAAGCTAATCAAATGTTTTATTTTAGATATTTGTCCATACTGGATGCAAATACAAAGTATCTAAATTTCTAGTTCTATAACTATATTATAATTAGTACAAAAGATATCATGTTATCTAATATATTCAAGTAGAACGTGGCACATATAATGCGTCGCATTCGGCACGTGCTTATACTCAATGTTGTCTAATGTTGCCAACTTTGTGAATTTTCCACTAAAACTGGTGGTTTTGACTTTCGTTTTCAAATATATTTTTACTTCATTTCATGAGTATTTTTTTTTCGGTTATCAATAAAAATACTTAGTAATAAATCATTCAAAAACAATAAAAAATTGATAATTCGTTTTACTTTTAAAACCCAAATATACCTAACTACTTAATAATCGATGAAAATACTTATCTCAACATACAACAAGTCTTTCCTCTGGTTTAATTGGCCTTAAAAATCCATTATGGTTCATAAAAGATAGCTTGATCTCTGCGACAGCTGTCAGTAAAATCACGTCTATGAAGTCCTGAATTTCTTAGTAGTACAGACAGTACCTGTCAATGTCAAAATTAGGTCGCCCTGCCCATAAAGTATGACATTGAAAGCTGTCGCAGAGATCAAGCTATCTTTTATGAACTATAGTTAGAGTTTTCCCATAGAGAAATATTTTTTATAGTATAGGATGACAAACGAGCACATAATCCACTTGATCTTAAGTGGTCACTGTGGCCCATAGACATCCACATTTATCCTTAACTAAGAATCAAAATTCAAATGCGTTGTCACCCCTGAAAACTAAGGTGGAATGCTTCGATTCCAGTAAAAAGGGTCTCCGGTTCTACTCACCATACGAAACACAGCAGCATTACGTTGCCATTTTCCACTGGTATTCTGTGAGAGCGAGGTACTGCCCCGTTTGAGATGGCCCCATTTGTGCTACAACTATAATATAGTTGCAGCGTGGCTCGAACACGTAAAAAAAATAATTGGCATTGAGCGATATGCGCGCTGAGTTTAATACACAAAATCATACACTATTATAATCATACCCTATCAGTTTAGACAGGAACTTTAACACTTACGTTTAAATAATGGTTTGAAGTAGATTTTTAAACGTAAAATTGGGTTAATTTTTTGTAATAAAATGTCTGTGAATGTGAATATTAATAAAAATTATGTAATAAGTAATGCGTTGGTAATATAAGTCTGAAGTCCAATTTGGCATCTTGTAAAATATGTTAGATTATGTTTTATGGCCTGAGACTTTTGCCTGCCTTAACTGGCGAAACTTTTAGATAAAGAATTTATCTATGTATAATCTTCAACAACACAACAGTCAGCTGTTAAACTGTCAGTGTCAATCTAAAAATAGTAATAGTGTCCTGTGGTGTCCTGTGCTAAAAATGTCAACTCGATAGGAGCCAATTAGGAGCACAAATTATAAAGTTGATTAGGAGATAGGAGCACGGCAAAGAAGGAGTGGAGACGCCTTATCAAGCCTCTTTTATAGTCATATACCCTTAAAGAAGAAGACCTCAATCTAATAGTGAGTGGAATAAAGAGTATTAGTAAGATTATATTCACAATTTATGAACAATAATATTCTTTTTGTTGATCTCCGTCAGGTGTAATGGTGTTGTTGTCGTTCCACCAAAACAGATTATAAGAATAACAGAGTTTTATTTAAATCAAAGATTTAAATAATTAGATGCGCCCTTACCATAGTATGACCACTCCGAAATGTGTTAATTCCCAAATGAGTGAGCTCACTCTTCGCAATCAGTGCTCATTTGTGCGCGGTGACAGCCAGATGTTGCACATTGGAACTAACGCGATGATTTCACCAAAAACTCTCAGAATGCCATCGTGTGCCTTTCGAAAGTGCAATAATAATTCTAGAAACACAAATAAAGCCCAAGGTGTAACATTTCACTCCTTCATTTCATAGGCGGCCTATGTCAGAAAATTCCTCAAAATAATTACGGGCAAACGGAAACTGTGCAACAGAGAAAGTATTATACACAATTTCCTTAAGATAATAAGAGATGACAAGTATTGTCTCAGTACTCTTCTAATAACCAATTTAGTTAGATACTCGAATGTACCAAGGAAGCAGTTTACAAACGAATCATCTATAAATAGACATAAACAGATGGAAATGCCGTGGTAGACCGAGAAAGTAGTATACACAATTGGTGTAAGATAAGAGGTGCTACTATTGCATTAGTGTGTGTGCGTCAGCATCTTGCAAAGCACACATTTAAGAGTAATGCAACAGTTTTTCAAGGTGAAGGTGCGTCTAACTATTTAAATAAGTTATAATAAATATTTTACTAATAACATAATTCTTGTTAAAAGTTACTACTTATGAGTGAATCTGCGGTATACGGCTTGCAGTTGCTTTCATATTCACAAAGTATGCTTAGACTGATATGTAGTTGTCATTATCAAAGGTAATAACCGGCTTGTATGATAAGGGTGATAACGAAACAATTACTTGTTTTTTTTCTATACTTAGAAACATTTAAATAACCTAATTTCTACTAACAATAGCTAATGGAAGTAATTAAAAAAAAAAAACAATTTGAATATGTGTGCAGTACACTAGACTTTAATTTTGAAGTTTTTGCTATCATTTATGGATAATATAGGTTTGCTGTGGTAAAATTATGTGTTTAATTAAAAATAAATAAACTGACTTAATATTGTGGTGTGGTGTAAAACTAAAATTATCATGTTATAAAACATTGTAAATTAAATACACAATCATCAAACAGCTTTGTATTTTGTAACAGGAGTATGTACCTTTTATTTTCATAACTATGTTTCTTAGAGCAACAAGGGCCACCAGCTTATCAGAGAGGAGTAGCCATATGCAGGTATTCCCTGTGTCAAAGTATAAGTCTACATGGTCCTATGTGTACTATAAGATCAGTTGCAGCCACATTGTTCACTAGACTTAATCTTGTTGTGCAGCTGAATCCATGTCTAAAAAAATGCTGAATCATTAAGTTTTTTGCTGCAAAAAGAAATCTACCATGTCAAATTTACAAAAAGATGGCATTACATACCTTTCATATATAAGTAATTTTTAATCATGTTATTGCTATTTATACCTTTTTAAACTTAAAAGTTACAATAATAACAGCTATGTTTTTCCAGGCGTGGGATTTGTTTACTATCATAGTCCATGCGCCCTACAATATGCAGATCAGTCGAGTGACTGATCCGAGTCTATGTCCAAGTTATCACTGTCACCTAGCGATATTGTTATAATGTATCTATGTGTGAGTGTAATTGTTACTTTATTGTTTTAGTTGCTATGTGTGAGTTTCGTAGTGACAATTGGTGATATATTGAAAATGGGCCAAATTTATTTTTGTGTGCGCAAATATCTCCAGCAAAAACTGACAGTTTTATATTGGAGAAAAATGCTACGGCTACTCCCCTGCAGTCCGCCGATGGCCCATGTTTCTATATGACTAAGTTTAGATTTGAGTTTAAATTTAAAATGTGTTTATATATATTTATACAGAAGTGATTCTGCATAAAAAATAAATAACTATATATAATGAAGTGACGGCAGAGTCGGAAAAGGACTTTCTAGGTGAAAGTTTACTGACCAAATTGGCGATATATTGAAAATGGGCCAAATTAGGAGTACCCTTAATCGACGAGCATGTATGCATAGGTATATGTAAAGGAGGTGAGAGAGGTGTGTCAGGATTGTGCCAAATGGAAGTCTGTAGTCTCTGCCTACCCCTCTGGGTGACAGGCGTGAGTGTTTTTGTATGATTATGTATTTTTCGACAAGGTTTTCTTAAAAAAATGTGCATTTGTGGTTTGGTATTTGTATGCTTTCAGGTTATTTCGAGTTATTTTCAAGCGGTAGCAGCTGTAATAATTGACTGAAAATTGAAAACTGTAGTTTAAAGATTGTGACGTGTAATGCTCAGGATGTCATTTCAGGTAAGGTATAGTAGGCACTTACTTATGAAATAAAGTGTCAAATTGGGAATATAAAAATAAAATTTTAGAAACCTGGGTACCTAGAAAAATTAGGACTTTTAATTTGCTCCATGACAATTAATGCTTGCCCACATTAATTGTCTTGTCTTAGATGAATATACAAAAATATTGAAACACATATCAATGGAAATATGCAGACATCTAAGTCATCTAATCAACCTAATTATTAGCGCAGGTATTTACCCAGATGCCTTAAAAACATCAATTATAAAGCCTCTGTTTCAGAAGGAAAATAGAGAACTAATGGAATATTATCGGCCCATCTCACTTATTCCCGTTATTTCAAAAATATTTGAGAAATATATACATATATATATATATATATATTTATAATTATTGAAATGTTATTTTGTTGCATTTTCATTTGTTCATTTATTCGGGACAACCAACAAGACATACACGAACACAATGTAAATACTAGAAATATCAGGAAAGTTTATATCTAAGTGTCATCTTAATTAAAGGTTGTCACGGCATGCAATGGAGATAACAAATATGTTTCTTAACACTTACAACTACAAACTTAAAACTAGACCCAAATGCTAGCTAACAGTAAAGGATTGCAAAAATTTTCAACCTATTGAGACCTATTAGCAAAGATATCCACGTCACATGTCTTGCAGAGCTGGTTATATTGCCTCTGTAACCTGTTAATAGTGGCATGGTGACCCTAAAGGTCCTCTTAAATTCTTTGGAATTATGCAACACAAACCCAAATATTTGAAGACCTCTTGTAACAAATCTGTCAATGTGTTTATGAAACTGCTACTTTTTGTTCAGAACCACGCCCAGATCTCGAACAGACTCCACTTCTGCCAAAAGATGACCATCAATATTATACATCGGTGTCGGAACATTTACACATCTTGAGAATCTTATAATTTTACATTTATCGAGGTTCAAAAATAGTTTGTTCTTAATGCACCACAAAGACAACCTGTCCAAATCCTCTCGCAATCGGAGTGAGTCACTATGATTTTTGATTTGCAAGGACAATTTCATGTCAACTGCATACAAAAAGCAGGTCGTCTGATTAAAAGAGACGCAAGTCCATTTTTAAAAATATTGAAAAGAATTGGACCAAGATGGCAACTTTGGGGAATGCCAAGTCGAAATGGTTCTGAGGAGTAACCATTTACCACAACTCTCGATTTTCCCTGCCTGGGGTATGAAGAGAACCATTCGCGAAGATGATCGCCAGTGATGCCCAAAACTGAGAGTTTGTGAAGTAAGATGTTATGATCTACAATGTCAAACGCCTTACCGAAGTCTGTGTAGGTGGTGTCCACAGACAAGGGCGAATCTAGAGAATTGGAGACATAATGCACTAACGAAGCAAGATTTGTAGCTGTAGAACGAGAAGCCCGATTATTGATGTGAGATTATTTGCTTTATTTACCAAGTCAAAACAGGGCAAACTAATTATTCAAAAACTTCACCGAAGACAGCCAATATGGATATTGGTCAGTAATTTCTGACGGATCCCGCGTCTCCTGATTTATAAATGAATAGGTGATATAGAACATATTTAAACTAAATAACACAAATGTGATGCTTTCGCAAAATTTTGCATTGAAGACTAAAAACTCGTTTTTATGAAAATTATGTATTTAAGTAATCCCAAGTTTCAGTCATTTATCAATACACTATTACCATAAATAGGACTTCACTGATGTTTCTGTTAAAAAATTGTTGAATTGGAAATTAATGAATTCTATACCGACATAACTGTAAAAGAGATATTCAAATGCCTAAAAATAGTAGGAAGAATAGCAAATAAGGCCGGTAGAAGAATGTTGGATGACAGAGATAGAGTTTGCAATAGTTCCTGTGATTTTGAGTTAGACAATATGCAGTGTTGTTAAGGGTCACCACTGCTATTCTGTGCTTTTAAAATTCTACAGGAACTTATTACTTTCAATGATAATTGATTGTGATTTCTTATATTTACGCGACCACTACACATTGAAATAATACTAGTTTTTTACGGAATTTATCGCGTATATTTGACTTTTTAAATACCCGACGTTTCGAACGCTTTACAGCACTCATGGTCACGGGCAGGACTGAGACGTTCAACGTCCATATGTCATAGTTAACCGCGGTTACCATAGATTAAAATTTAACTTTTGTTCCGATCTATACACCATCAGACGTGTTCGAGATCTGGGCGTGGTTCTGAACAAAAAGTAGCGGTTTCGTAAACACATTGACAGATTTGTTACAAGGGGTCTTCAAATATTTGGGTTTGTGTTGCATAATTCCAAAGAATTTAAGAGGACCTTTAGGGTCACCATGTCACTATTAACAGGTTACAGAGGCAATATAACCAGCTCTGCAAGACATGTGACGTGGATATCTTTGCTAATAGGTCTCAATAGGTCGAAAATTTTTGCAATCCTTTACTGTTAGCTAGCATTTGGGTCTAGTTTTAAGTTTGTAGTTGTAAGTTTTAAGAAACATATTTGTTGTCTCCATTGCATGCCATGACAACCTTTAATTAAGATGACACTTAGATATAAACTTTCCTGATATTTCTAGTATTTACATTGTGTTCGTGTATGTCGTGTTGGTTGTCCCGAATAAATGAAATTGTTTTCTTTTTCTTAAAAACTTTTACCTTCCTCACTAAGAATTTCTCCTGTTTTGTGGCAGCATTTTATTTATTCAATTGCATAGAAAAAAGCACCCAAAGCTGTACCAATTATTTGTAAACCATACAGAGCAAAAATTGGCTCCACATGGTAAATAAATCTGCAGCCAGCTGCACCTATTGTAGTAAATTTGTAGTATATGCATTATATTATTTTCGTAAGATCTAAACATTTACCCAATTTTTTCCAAATGTTACAGATAGAAACAATTGTAAATGCTTATAAAACCCTCGCCAAGATTCCCGCAATAGTTGGAGGCAAACTCAACAACAATGGAAACAGAATCTCTTGCAAGTGGTCAGTGCGCAACTTGGACAAAGGGAAGTCTACAAAATACCTTCATGACTACATTTTGGACACTGACCTAAATGTTATAGCTCAGAGTGATTTTGGAGTAGATGTTAGCAATGAGTAAGTAAACATGCGCTAATTGTGCTCATCCCAGTATAATTGCTTTTTCATGAAAATTTTGGCTCACAGATCACAGATGTGCCATTATTTTAATTACTTAGCACAATTCCGCTAACTAAGTTCACTGCGACGACAGTAATTCATTTCTTCTAAATGTGCTGGCGCACAGCACAGGACCGAGAAATACGAAAGGTGTTAAGATGTTGTAACGCTGGCCGCCTATGAGGAGACTAGCCATCTGCGCAGGACAGCAGGTATAGGTGCACTCTCTATTCCCTTACTCTCATGGTCCCATGTGATTGCAAGGCGACACGACCGAGAGACATCAGACGTAGGACCTGCAGCTTTAGTACTTCCGAGGCACGGGGTAGAAAACACCGCCAAGGTCCTGATATTTCTTAACAAAAAAACCAAGTAACTAATTTTGGCTCGACCCGGGCCGGTATTCAAACCCAGAGCTTTATGATTAATAACCGCGTCTCCGACCACTAAACTAACAAAGCAGTCGCAGGCAGCCAATTATTAACGGGTGTTTGTTTAAAGTAAGGATAGGGCACGGGATAAGAGCGGGTTAAGTGAATAATACAAGATTTTATGGCGTATATTAACTTTTTTATATACCCGACGTTTCGAGCACTTTACAGCACCCATGGTCACGGGGGGAACTGAGATGTTTCACTTCCAGATGTCATAGTTAACAGCGGTTACCACAGATTAAAATTATTAATTTTTGTTTCGATCTACAATCAAATTAATAATTTTAATCTGTGGTAACCGCGGTTAACTATGACATCTGGACGTTAAACATCTCAGTCCCCCCGTGAGCATGGGTGCTGTAAAGTGATCGAAACTTCGGGTATATATAAAAAAGTTAATATACGCGACAAAATCCGTAAAACCTTGTATTATTTAAATGTGTAGTGTTCGCGTAAATATAAGAAGTCATTATTACCTTGTTGATTTATTAGTAAAGCCCATCCTCTCAAGCTTCGGGTATGAGGTGTACAACATTCAAGAAAAATAAAAATTAAAGGTATTGAAAGTCAATTTATAATTTACTACAGGTTTTTAAAATACCTTTTCCCTAGGAAGAAGCAAGGAATACAAGATACCCAGTAAGTTGTTACCCTTATTCTAAAAAAATAACCTGAATGCCAGCTGCTTCTTCTTTATAAGCACATACCAATCTACCGCTAGACATGACCTCTCCCATGGTTTGAAGTATTTGCGTAATGGACACGCATGGCAGGCGGAAGGCCGCAGTAACATTTATCGCGCATCCTTCACGATGTTAGTTGCGGCCTGCTTGCGTTGATTGACAAATATTAAAAAATGCCATCAATCCACATGTCTCTTGCGTCACTCTGTAAATCGAAAAATGTTAATACTCCGAAACTATTTTTTATCAGGTTACTATCAGCCGTGTCTCCAAAGGGAATGTATAAAGCGGTAATACGCGAGGAGAAGGAGGGCAAAGAGAATAAAAAGCAGTACCTTGAAGTTTGGTGCCGACACAACCTCGCTCACTGCATCGATCTCACTGCGCTCGATGTACACGGAGATGTTTATGCTGACTGTACGTACGTTTAATCTTCTTTTCTTCTCTTCTTCATCAGGCCGTAAATCTACTGCAAAAATAGGCCTTGGATATATGTTTGTAAGGAGGATTTGCCATGATACTCAAACTTAGATTGACAATCAGAGTACTTGTTAAATATTGCGATTCCCAATTTCTTAGTAACAAGAATTGCAATATTTTAAGTTCAATAAATTAGTTCGTTCAGTCTTAGTAATGCGCACACAACAAAATAATATGGTCTGAAGCAATATATAAAACACTAGCACTTTACAATATAGAAATAAATGATACTTACAAGACACCAAGGAATAATTAACAAAATTTGAAATGAAAAACACTAAAATCCGAGATGCTAGACCACTACTCAAAAAAGAAAAGTGTTACTTAAAAACGGAGGAAATAAAGCAAAATTACAAGAAAAAATCTAAGTAAAGAAATCAGCTGTAGAAGTCAAGTAGAAGAATCGAATGACACTACATAACCAAAACAGGAGGTATAAAAAAAAGCCTTAAAAGAACTAAAAGAGGAAAAGCAATGTATCCCGAAAATGAAGAACAAAAAGAAAAGCAAGAAACAAGAAGACAGCTAATTTTAAAGATAGCAACAGACTATTATCGCAAACTATACTCTACCGAAAACACTCAAGAAAGAAATATAGACCTCGACGACAACACAGAAGAAATCCCTCAAATTCTAGAAAGTGAAGATGAACATGCAATAAAAACGCAATAAAATGACAAAGCTTCCAGAACTGATAACGTAACCAATGAGATGATAAAAGCAGGATTGCTAGAAACAACAACGAAACTGACGAATTTGTTTAATGTTATCCTAAACACAGAAACTATACCCATACAATGGACAATAGGGTCTATAATTCTCATCCATAAGATAGAAGACCGATAATAAACAGGCAACTATCGCCCAATAAGCCTCATGTTTAATATACTGGGTGACCTTTTTTACCGTCTGGAAAATTATATGGGTTATGTGTAAGTGGAACAGAAGCTATCGTCGAAAGTATGTATTTGTAAAATATAATTAATAGGCAAAAATTCCGAATTGATTAAAACTACTTTTACGGATTTTATCGCGTTTATTTTACTTTTAATTACTTTTATTTTTAATTCCCGACGTTTCGGGTGCTTTCCAACACCCATGGTCACGGGGGACTGAGATGACTGACATCCCGATGTCATTGTTAAACCCGGAGTACCTTCAGCTTTTTTAATTATTGTTTATGGTCCGATCTATGCAAAATGAACTGACTATGTCCTGAGGTCTTGCAGTGGTATGCTTGGGTTTAGTTTTAATTTTATTGATTATAGGATCCCAAGCAGGTGGTAGTACCCAGCGTCCTTCTCTACTGAAATTAGGATGTTTTTTAATTTCAATAGCCTCACGTATCATCCTTAGGCAACTATCGCCCAATAAGCCTCATGTTTAATATACTGGGTGACCTTTTTTACCGTCTGGAAAATTATATGGGTTATGTGTAAGTGGAATAGAAGCTATCGTCGAAAGTATTTGTAAAATATAATTAATAGGCAAAAATTCCGAATTGATTAAAACTACTTTTACGGATTTTATCGCGTTTATTTTACTTTTAATTACTTTTATTTTTAATTCCCGACGTTTTGGGCGCTTTCCAGCACTCATGGCCACCGGGGGACTGAGATGACTGACGTCCCGATGTCATTGTTAAACCCGGAGTACCTTCAGCTTTTTAAATTATTGTTTATGGTCCGATCTATGCAAAATGAACTGACTATGTCCTGAGGTCTTGCAGTGATATGCTTGGGTTTTAGTTTTAATTTTATTGATTATAGGATCCCAAGCAGGTGGTAGTACCCAGCCTCCTTCTCTATTGAAATTAGGATGTTTTTTAATTTCAATAGCCTCACGTATCATCCTTAGGCAACTATCGCCCAATAAGCCTCATGTTTAATATACTGGGTGACGTTTTTTACCGTCTGGAAAATTATATGGGTTATGTGTAACTGGAATAGAAGCTATCGTCGAAAGTATTTGTAAAATATAATTAATAGGCAAAAATTCCGAATTGATTAAAACTACTTTTACGGATTTTATCGCGTTTATTTTACTTTTAATTTCTTTTATTTTTAATTCCCGACGTTTCGGGTGCTTTCCAACACCCATGGTCACGGGGGACTGAGATGACTGACATCCCGATGTCATTGTTAAACCGGGAGTACCTTCAGCTTTTTTAATTATTTTTTATGGTCCGATCTATGCAAAATGAACTGACTATATCCTGAGGTCTTGCAGTGGTATGCTTGGGTTTAGTTTTAATTTTATTGATTATAGGATCCCAAGCAGGTGGTAGTACCCAGCCTCCTTCTCTATTGAAATTAGGATGTTTTTTAATTTCAATAGCCTCACGTATCATCCTTGGTAGAAATCGGTGTTCTTTCGCGAGGATTTGTGGTCTATCAAATCTGATGTAATGGTAGGGGCCATCTAGGATATGATCGCAAACTGCAGACTTCCCGGAACGTTGATGCTTCACATCAAATATATGTTCTTTTACGCGGGTTCTAATTGATCTTTTTGTTTGTCCTATATAAGAGAGACCACATTTACAATCAAGCTTGTACACTCCTGAATCTTCTAGAGAAATATGACACTTGACGGATGGTAGGAACTGACTAATCTTCTTCGGCGGCTTGTAGAATGTTCTAATAGAAGCTCGCTTCAAGATGTAGCCAATCTTGTCTGTGACACCTCTGACATATGGTAGTACAGCAGGCACACGCTCGACTGTGGCCGGCTTCACTCGGTCACTGTGACGTAGGCGCGGGTCCCATTGTCGCCGATATATTCATGGAAGGCTTTGAGGACTAAGCCCTAGCATACCACTGCAAGACGTCAGGACATAGTCAGTTCATTTTGCATAGATCGGACCATAAACAATAATTAAAAAAGCTGAAGGTACTCCGGGTTTAACAATGACATCGGGACGTCAGTCATCTCAGTCCCCCGTGACCATGGGTGCTGGAAAGCACCCAAAACGTCGGGAATTAAAAATAAAAGTAATTAAAAGTAAAATAAACGCGATAAAATCCGTAAAAGTAGTTTTAATCAATGTATAGTGTTCTCGTAAATATAAAAAATCATTGTAAAAATTCCGAATATCCAAAAAGACATAAAAACCATTCATCCTATGGCTTTTGCGTGAAATAAAAAATAGGTGATATTTTATTAAAGGGCGCGGCGTAGGCTGTGATCGCTAGTGAAGCAAGCGCGAGTGAGACGTGTGCACATTTCTTTCGTTAGACATTCATCATCGTTTTGTAGACATTCGTTTCGGCGGCCGAGTGGGGCGGCCGACTCATCGTTCCAGCCAACATTTTGAATCAGCGGTATTCAAAAAGAGTTTTTTTGAGTTTTTTTTACAATTTTTTTTTATTACACACACAAGACCGAGAATCTTTTTTTTAAATAAATAATTGGTATTCGATTTTTAAAACCAAGGAGTTTTCAATTAAAAAGATTTTAATATGACAGGAACAGTGGAAATATTCCATTCCCGATACTTTTAGTGCAGCCTAGGTAAAACAGCAGACAATGTCTAGCCTGATTATAGAACGACTAGTTAGGTCCACTTTTTTACGACAAAATTTTTAGCCACAATGCCAAAGCGCTAGTGAATGTTGCGGTATTAAAGGCAACCCACTGCATTTGTTGGTTTTGTAATGCGTGACACTTAAAATTCAGTATTATCAGCCGCATTGTAAAACACTAAAAGCTAATACACTACATGATGTGCATAACAACTAGGCGTTTAATAATGCGTCTTATCTTATTTCTTATTCGGCTGCGACATACATTCGTGCGGACCGAATGCAGCCGAAGCTACTCCCGTCGGAACCGAAAACCTTTCGTTTCAGATTATTATTTTTGTGATTTCGATCTTTCCTTCATACTTTTATGGACATAGAACTGTCCAATATGCTGTTTTTTTTATTTTTTTTTATAGAAGAGGGGGCAACCGCCGCCCATGATCAACCGCAACACAACCGCAGGGGAATTGCAGGTGCGTTGCCGGCCCTTTAGAAAGGAGTAAGCTCTTTTCTTGAAGATCCCCAGGTCGAATCGGTCCGGAAAAATCGCCGGTGGTAAACTATTCCACAGAGAGGTTGTACGCGGAAGAAAACTCCTTTTGAAACGTACATTGGTGGAACGCCAAGCATCCAGATGGTGTGGATGGTATCGGGACGTGTGCCGCGTAGTACGTTCACGAAATTTGGCGGCTGTGACTAATCCGAACAATTCCTCAGAGCACTCCCCATGGTATATGCGAAAGAAAATGCAAAGAGATGCAACATCTCTTCGCAGCGCCAGTGAATCGAGCCGAGCGGAAAGCACTCGGTCGTCGACGATTCGAGCCGCACTGCGCTGGATGTGGTCAATTGGAAGGAGCTGGTACTGGTGAGCCCCAGCCTAGACTTGGGAACAGTATTCCATGTGTGGCCGAACCTGCGCCTTGTAAAGTTGCAGGCGGTGTGCCGGCATGAAATACTGTCCCGCTCTGCTGAGCACGCCAAGCTTTTTAGAGGCCAATTTGGCCTTCTCTTCCAAGTGACCACGAAACTGCACGTCACTCGATATGTCGACGCCGAGGATTCCGATACTGGCTGAGGCAACAAGGGGAGTGTCTTGAAACTGAGGAAATACGACAAAGGGGTTCTTTTTAGCGATTAACGCGCAAACTTGTGTCTTGTGGGGGTTAAACTGAACTAGATTTAGTCGCCCCCAATCCGAGACTCTGTTCAGCAAAGACTCGACTTCAGACACAAGTTTGTCCCGATACTCGGAGACGTTTTTCCGAGAAATATTGGCACGGCCGGTGTAAAGAGCATCACCAGTGCTGTCATCTACATAGCAATGAATGTTACGGGTTTGCAACATATTATCATTGATATGCAGAAGAAACAGCGTTGGCGATAGCACGCAGCCTTGTGGAACACCAGCATTAATAGGCTTGAAGTCGGAGCTTGCACCGTCTACAACAACCTTGATGCTCCGATCTGCAAGAAAGCTGGTGATCCAATCGCACAATTTCTCGGGAAGCCCATAGGAAGAGAGCTTCGAAAGAAGCGCTTTGTGCCAAACCCGATCGAAGGCCTTCGCAATGTCCAAACTAACGGCCAATGCCCACCCCCTTGGACTCTACTGCCTCCGCCCATCTATGAGTAAAGTAGACCAGACGATCACCAGCTGATCGACCACGGCGAAAACCGTATTGGCGATCACTAATCAGCTGGTGATCCTCAAGGTACCTCATGAGCTGGCAGTTTACAATGGACTCCATTGTTTGCTGTAGTTGAGTTGACATATGGACGTTGAACATCTCAGTCCCCCCCCCCCCCCCCGTGATCATGGTTGCTGTAAAGTGCTCGAAACGTCGGGAAAAACAAATGAATAAAGGACATAACAGAATGGATCTTTAGATTACCAACAAAAAGAAAAAGAGAAAGGCAAAGGAAACGATAGTCTGACGACATCAAAAAACAGGGGGGCTCATTTTGGCTGGGTGGAATATGCTGAAAGAGGCCTTTGTATTTCAAATAAACGCTGACTCTGACTGATTTATAATATTGTAGTATTCATTTAAAACTGTTTGTAAACATTGTCGGCAAGAAAGGTTATAAATAAATAAATTTATAACCTTCTTGTTTGGTTCAATGGGGGGGGGGGGGGTCGTGCTAAGAGTATTAGTTCTATAGCATATGTTTTGCAGGTTGAGGTCAGAAACTATACGATTTAATTCTCAAATTATCTTTCCAACATTGGGCCCCATTAGCTTTCCAATAAGACCACACGGTGGTTTACCTAGGCTGCACTAAAAGTATCGGGAATGGAATATTTCCACTGTTCCTGTCATATTAAAATCTTTTTAATTGAAAACTCCTTGGTTTTAAAAATCGAATACCATTTATTTATTTAAAAAAAGGTTCTCGGTCTTGTCACAAGGTTTTGTCAAACTTGTTTAGTCGTTGAGAAAATGGAATTGACTCGAGAAAATTCAAGAGCGATGATTTATTATGTCTTTCGAAGTGGTTTAACACAAAAACAATGTGTTGACCGGATGATTTCTGCATTTGGTGATGAAGCCCCATCCAAAACCACAATTTATCGCTGGTTTGCTGAATTTCAACGTGGACGTGTCAGTGCTCAGTGATGATCCCCGTCAAGGTCGTCCAAAAACTGCAGTCACCCAAGAAAACGTTGATACTGTGCGTAAGCTGATTGAGGAAGATCGAAATGTGATATACCGCGAAATTCAGGCAACTTTAGACATTGGCATGAGTCAAATACAAATAACCTTGCATGAACCATTAGGTGTAAAAAAGTTGTTTTCCCGATGGATACCGCATTTGCTCTGTGAAGAGCAAAAAGCGGCTCGCGTTACTTGGTGCGTCAGAACTCCCGAAAGATTCCACGCAGGATCCCAAATGCTGTATACAACATCGTATCAGGTGACAAATCCTGGATATACGGGTACGAACCCGAAACAAAAAACCAGTCACGAGTTTGGGTGTTCGAAAATGAGTTAAAGCCAACAAAAATTGTTCGTTCACGGAGTGTTGCAAAAAAAAATAGTGGCCACGTTTGTCTCCAAAACCGGCCATGTTACGACTATTCCTCTTGAGGGACAAAGAACGATTAATGCAGAATGGTATGCTAGCATTATTTTGCCACAGGTCGTTTCTGAACTCCGTAAAGAGAACTGCAACCGCCGCATCATCCTCCATCACGACAATGCGAGTTCTCACACCGCACACAGAAAAAAGAGTTTTTAGAGCAAGAAAACATATATAAATATACAAAAGAATTATTAGACCATCTGCCGTACAGCCCCGACCTAAGCCATAATGATTTCTATATTTTCCCTAAAATAGAGAATAAATTGCGTGTACAGAGATTTTCATCACCTGAAGAAGCTGTGGACGCCTACAAAACGGCCATTTTGGAGACCTCAACTTCCGAATGGAGTGGTTGCTTCAATGATTGGTTCCATCGTATGGAAAAATGTGTCAAATTTCGCGGAGAATATTTCGAAAAGCAATAAATACATTTTTAAATAGTAATGTTGTGTCACTTCCTTGATTCCCGAAATTTTCAGTGCCGCCCTCGTACAATCTTTTCGTTGTTGATTAACAAGCATTCGGACGAAGTGGTGTAATTTGTCATTTAAACTGGTAGAGTGGAATAATTTGCTACTCCTTGTTACACTTTCCATCTGGATTTTTGTAACACTCTTTTCGTCTGAATACAATTTGGATGGTCTTCAAAAGAACAGTGTGTAGCCGTGTGGTGGTGGAATAAGAGTAAAATCTTATGGATTCTGATAGTTTTTTTTATAGGATAGGATAACAAACTAGCACACAGTCCACTTGATGATAAGTGATTGCTGCCGCCCATAGGCATCTACATCTATCCTCGATTACGAATCAAAATGCAGATGTGTTGTCATCCGTGAGGAATAAGATGGAATGACCCGTTTCCAGTAAAAAGGGTCTCCGGTTCTCTACGCTCACCATACGAAACACAGCAGCATTAAGTTGCTATTTTACGCTGGTATTCTGTGAGAGCGTGGTCCTTCCCCGGTCGAGCCGACCCATTCGTGCCACAACTTTACTACTAAATATAACTGCAGCATGGCTCTACCACGTATAAAACGTTGGCGGTGTACGTATCTTATTTAACCCAGATTTTAGATACCCAGACTGGCGACGAGCAGCAGTCAACCCGCCTGTCAAGATTGACGTTTAAAGCAGATCTTCCCTATGACGGGAGAGGTGTGTATAGTCTGTGTAAGATGTTGTGTATGATAATAAGATAATGGAGTAAGTGCATGATAGTCTAATCGGTTAACATATATCGTGATAGCTTTAAGTCGCCACCATGCTAATTAACTAATTGTATTGTTGTGTATATTGATGTTTAAATATTTCAGCTGAGTTTGGCAGCTTGGATTGGTCTCAGGACGAGACCGCTATAGTTTACGTAGCTGAGAAAAAGCTAAAGAAATCAGAACCGTACATCAAGAGGAAATCCGAGGACAAGTCCAAAGTAGATGGAAGCGGTGAATCTGCGCCGAAGAAAGTAAATACAGTTTTATTTCCAGGATTAAGATAAAAACATAATTAATATATGCATGAGAAGTAGTTTGTCCGTGAACGTGCGAGTGTACGCGCGTGCGTGCGCGCGCGTGTCCGTTGTAAATTTTATTACTAAGATTTTAACGCCCAATCACCATCGGAGCTTTACTACATTTTGTACTTTTCCTCTATCAGGAGGTGCAATTGAGCAGATTTTTCTTTTGTAATTAATATTTTATGTCCAATATTCAGTAATGATCGGTGTTTCGTATAAACGATATCTTATAATTTTGCAAATCACTCGTAACATCGGCCATTAAAACGCGAAAATATTCTCAACGGTAGTTTTATACAAAATCTGAATTTGTTCTAGGGTGAAGAGTTCCTCTACAGACAAGACTGGGGCGAGCAGTTAGTGGGCAAACAAATGTCAGTGATTGTTGTTTGCCGTCTGCCTGCTGAGAGCTTCACGGTTTTAGAGGGTTTGCCGGAGTCGTGGTGTCCAGGGCAGGTAAGAAATCAAAATTATGAATGTACTATTTAAAGGCTACGGCTGCATAATTTCACAGTAAATAAATAGGGATTTACACAGGAATTTAGGAATGGGCGATGCTAAATTATTTTATTCATCCGCTTATGGACAACATGTTGGTAGTGAAGGTCAAATTAGTATTTATATAGGACACATAGGGTGTCTTTATACTATATCGGGAATAGATGGGCTACTCTGACAAACTATTAGGTGACGAAATTTAGAGTATACGAGTATAGATATATAATAAATATATATAAAAAAGAATAAATGTCGGTAGTAGCGCCATCTTTTGAATAAAATATAAAATAGTACTCTCAACGACTGTGGGATGGTGCTAGATAAACGTAAAATCAATTATTTCAATATTTTAATTTATTTATATTGGACCACCCCAGCCGCACCCTAAGCTATTGTTACTGATATTGCAAGATTGGATTCATCCGATTATAGGACAAATAAATTATATTAGTCGTCCGATTGGCAGATGACCAGATGACACTCCCTTTATGAATTCTGTACTACTCTGTGGAGTGATGAGATTTCGAGTTTAGACATAGCGTACGTGTAACAATCCAAAACTAATCGAATATAATATAATTATTAAGTAAGTTGCCTTGAATAGTTATAAGTTACAATTACTAAGTAAGCAAGACAGTTTTGTTTGTCGCCCTAACATTAAAACATCCTTAGGTCCGCTTTACGAACGACGGCCAGAGTGTGGTGGGTGTAGCTTGGGAGACCGAACCCAGGCGTCTTGGACTCATATTCTGTACCAACCGGCCATCGTACATTTTCAACCTTACTTTAGATGGAACCATGAGTACGTAAGCTATGCCAATGATATTTTTTAAGTATACATTGTTTAAATTAATTGTGTTTAAGAGTCATGCTGGTCGTATGAGGAAGCTCCAGGCCGCTCAGCAAGCTATGGAGAAGGATCTGGGTTTCTCTGCGTGATAGCACAGAATAAATAATAGTAGTACGTACAGAAGTTGCACTCCTGATCAAATGTTGACAGTTTGCCGTCGTTTTAATAGCCTACATAATTATTATTGCTTAGATAAATCACGCCACAAGTTAAATAAAACTTTATCGCTGCGCGCGAGTGTCCATATTACTTTGCATCTTTTCCCCTTCCTACGTCATGGCGGACTTTCCGTGGTTACTAAGGGCTGTCAATAAAGAGTAAAAAAATTCTTTGCGAAATGATAAGTTACTTAGGTAAAGTACCTATTCTGACTATGATCGATTGACCATATTTTCGCTACCATGTGAGTTTTGTGACGCCTAACGCATGCAATTTGCAAGGCCATTCGTCGGCAATCTCAATGCTTGGCTCTGAAGAAATAGGTAGATAGTGTAAACAACAAATAAACCTGAAATTACGATTCATAACGGAAATGTGATCGTATTCTACTTAATTAAAAATCTTGTTAGTAAACCAAGTTTTAATTTCAGTATTTTGTGTTATAATTACAAAAGACAAGACAATATAGATATCTAAGTAGGTACTTACTTGAATAGTGAAGTACATTTCAACAAATTTTTGTAATAAGGTATTTAGGTATTACTTCTGTAGTTATATTGTTAACAGAGGCCTGATAGTCTTATTAAAAATGAGGAGGACAAACAACAACGACCTGATGGTAAGTGATGACCACCGTCCATGAACAACTGCAATACCAGGTGAATTGCAAGTGCGTTGCCGGACTTTTAAAAAAGAGTAGACTCTTTCCTTTAAAGTATCTAAGTCATATCGGTCCGGAAAAATCGCTGGTGATAGTCGATTCCACGAAATAAAAATTAATGCTATGACATAACATAATCATATAGATAAAAATTAGTACAATAGATACCCTTTAATCACTAGAAATTTTTCCTGTGTCGTGAACGCGCATTAATTACATAAATTATACACCCAGACACGAAAAAGTTATTTAATACGAGTACTCACCAAATGGCGAAACATCTAAACAAACACATGAAAAAGACTAGAGTCATTGTCACACACACATGTGTGTGTGGGACAATAACACACACACACACACACACATATGTACTTGCAAGCACGCACATACTCATGCACTCACGACCACATATACGTACACCATTATAAATAGGATTTTTTTAGATTAGACAGTAAAACACAAAAGCTGTTATCAAAGAAATCATCTGTTATAGATTCATTAAAAACTTCATCACCTATTTTTCCAAATTTAGGAGTGGAATTTCCTCCAACTGTTCTTTTATTCCTTTTCTGATATATGAAATGAAATAATTAGAAAAGACTTTATCGTTAATATGTTTTATAATCTACTACCACTACTAATAATATAAAATCATTCAGATAAGACCGGTCTGGAGATGAGCGACTTGGGATTTGTCATACTGGATATCTTAATATAGACTAGCACAAATTAATGGTGTATTAATATATAAACTATTTTAAATAAAAATCTGTGAGAGAGACAAATAATTTACTTAACGAGTCCACTGTTAGATGTTTTTATCATAATTACTTCATTAAAACCATATCAACATGAAAAACCATTGAATATTTTTTAAATTAAAAACATTTGATCACTTTCAGCTAAAATCTCATCTGAAGGCATGTCCGTCCGTTCACCACGTTTAAGCTCAAATGGAGATTTGCTGTGGCTGCAAAGAGTTGCAGATGGGCCACATCACGCGTGTCACGCTCTCGTTGCGAAGAGGAAGGATTCTGTGAGTCACCAATTTTAACACTAGGTTACGTAGGCTACGTAATGTTATTTGATGTTGATGTTGTCTTCTATAAGGAAATAACTTCGGACATTTTCAATAAATGTTTATTATCATTAATATTAATATTGTGTAAATAGTTACATTAAAAGTTTCATCCGCTATTTTTCCACCGTTAGGAGTGGAAATTTAGAAGCATATTTAATTAAAAAAAAAAGAATCAATAATATCAGTTTACAATTGGCGAAGATATCACATAACATAGATTCATACAAAAAATTAAAATTTAAGTGTCTGTTTGTAATGTGAAAATAACAGCTTTTATTTGGTACTTACAACAAAAAAAAAACAACGAGTATTAAAATTTTTGTGTATCTGTGTCTGTCTGTTCCGGACCGATTTTGACGGTACTTCACTGACAGATAGTTGATGTTATAAAAAGCAACTTGGGCTACTATTATTTTGTAAAATGATAAGGGTTCCGCGCAAAAAAAAATTGTAATCCATTGAATCCAATCGTAGTGCGAAGTCGCGGGGAACAACTACGTAGTACAAAATAAAACACAATAACATAAAACAAAAAATAAAACATACAGTCCAATTGTAAGCCTCCTCCGTTTTTGAATTCAGCTAATAAAATAGAATATTTGTCATTTAATATAGTAAAGTAAAAAAGTAAAGCTACAGTCTATATACGTTCCACCGCTGGGCACAGGCCTCACCTCATCACTTTAGCGCACAAGTATTAGCATGGCCTACAAATATTTGTTTCGAACCAGTAAAATACACGATACAGGAGAAATTCATAGTGAGAGGGTTTTTTTTTCTGTTAAATAGAAAATAAATATCTCTTTTCAGAATGAGATATCATCATTAATAGACATAGTTCAGACCGAATTGAAGATACAAAATGGCGAGAGCTTCTATGGAATATACAGCCAAGCTCTGCCATCGAAGTGCTTCGCCAGCGACAACAGAGTTGTTTTTAGCACTCCACAGCGGAACGAAATCAGGAGCTATGTTGTCAATATCGGTGAGTCGATTTCGCTATAAACAAACGTACAAAACGACTGACGACTAAAAATTTATAATCCGGATTAAAAAAAATACTGGCTGTGTTGTTTGTTAACACTGCTAATGCTAAAAGAAAAAAAACTCGAACTTTTAAAAAAATAATTTTAAACAATGAACAAAATATTGCCGTTTGCATATGAAATCACTGTCTACATTGCCCATTTGGTATGTGTACCAATACACCAATATAAGTATACCTTTTAAAACTTAGAATTTGACCACTGACACACAACTTATAATAATATATCACCCTATTTTACTCCGATACGATTTTTACATGTGGTAGAGCTACGCTGCAGCTATACTATAGTTTTGGCACGACCCATTGTCGACTCGACCAGGGTAGGACCACGCTCTCACAGAATATCAGCATAAAATATCAGCTCAATGCTGCTGTGTTTCGTATGGTGAGTGTAGAGATCCGGAGACCCTTTTTTACTGGAAACGAGGCATTCCATCTTAGTCTTCAGGGGTGACAACGTACCTGTGTTTTGATTCTTAATCGACAAATGTAGATGTCTATAAGCCACAGCATCCATTTACTATCAGGTGGACTGTGTGCTCTTTTTTGCAGCCTTATCCTATATGAAATAGATGTTGTCGTATCCGCTTATATGCTTACCAAGTGATTATTCAAGTCCATCAACAATACAGGCCACGCGCAGCAGTGGCACTTTTACATGATGATATTAAAAAAAAATTTTTTACAGATAACAGTAGTATCATCGATATATCGAACAAATCGATTATTGGGTCGACTACTGTGCTGGATGTCAAATCAGATGTCATACTCGCTTCTTGCTCCAATATGACTACACCTGGACAGGTATTTTGATGGAGGTCTAAGAGACTGTACCTTTATCTATTATTGTAAGAATTTTGAAAATCTTGTAGTGAATAGAAAGTGGTATAGCCGCTCTTATATGGCAAATTTCCTACTAGTCAGACAATTAACATAACCAGATTTAAATTTAATGGCACCTGCTTAGTTTTTTGTCTGATTCATATATTGCAATGAAAATAAAGTGGTATAGCTGTTCTTATATTGCAAATTTTCTAGTAGTCAGACAACTAAAAATATCGGATTTAAATTTAATGGCACCCGCTTAGATTTTTTTCCTAATTCATAATCTATGTTGTAATGAAAATAGAGTGGTATAACTGCTAGTTTATGGCAAATTTCCTAGTAGTCAGACAACTAACACCAGATTAAAATTTAGGTTGCATAAGTTTTTTTGCCAAATTCATAATCGACTGATTAAGTATTTTCAAAGGCATCACGTTCGCCAATTATATACCTTATCCTAATGCGCAATTACAAATTATTTAAAAACACAATGTTTAGTATATTCTTACATTTAAGACAGTAAAGACCGATTTACACTTCAACAAGTACAGTAGCGAGTTGACTTGCGAACCTGGCGAGTTAAGTAAAAAATCTCGTTTGAACGACAAAAAGCGAGTTGAGTAGCAAGTTAGCAATTAAGTTGGACGGGATAGCCGGCCGGGCTATTTTTCGGCGAGTTAAGTGCAAAGTGTTATCCTCCCGCGCGTCTTGCGCGCCGCCCGCAACTAAACTCGCTCGTTTAGTGCATAAGTTGATAGGACGCATTTGCACGCCAAAGCGTATACAATTGTACTTTTATAATTAAATTCGCCACAAAGTTTGTACGGTACAGTTTCTTCAATATTTATACATTTTATATTGAATTTTAATAATGAAATAGATGTAAGATATCACGTATAAATACGTTCGTACGGGAGTATACAGAACACGAATGTTTATATAATAGTCGAAGTTCAAATTATAAAATTAAACCTGCTCGAGATGTTGCGCTCATGAAAATTCTTAAAAACGTTTTTAACAACAACCAGTACCTAATATTTCTCTGACTATATCATTTAATTCTTGATGTAATCCTAGTATTAAACGAAACATAAGAAACATTCTGTAGTCTTGAAACGTCACACTCAAACACACTCTATGAACTGTCCTTAACTAAACTCGTCACGAAGACATTGTTTGAACGCTACTTGCCACTTAACCGTTTCCTGTCAACTGCCCTGTAACTAAACTCGCTACTGTACTTGTCGAAGTGTATATCGGTCTTAAGGTCAGTATTTATGAACAATTTCTAGTTTAAATTCTAGCTCCACAATATCAAAATTTGTATAACATACTCGAAGCATGATCTAGACTCAAATCTTAACACTGTAGAGTTAGCGAGTGAGTACTTAACAGTTCTGTGTGTCTGTGCTACGGCACCAGTGTTAATAAAGAGTCCCTAAAATGTTTCTATCATACTTAGGGGTTATAGCTTCATTTCATGTTAAGCTACCAGCTCTGTTCTTTGGACACAGACCCAGCACATTTTTTAACTGTTATAAGCCAATGTTTGACTATTATCCCCCCTCGTGCTAAATGGTGATGATGATAGATGATGATGATGATGATTCTAAAGCTTTTAGTATGATTTGTCATATAGAGTCTAAATGACGCATTCACTATTGCCTTGAAGACACCCAGATTGCTACCAGCTAAAAGATCGTTATTAGGGAATTATTGTTTTTTTTCTCTCTCTTTTATATAGCTCTATGTGGCTCGACTACCAGCAAAAGGTTCCGAAGCAAACATTAAATGGATCCAAGTTACAAAGCCCTGCGAAGTACCCACCTCCGTCGCTAACTCCACTGTTCATTATATGGAGTTGGAGCAGAACACGCAGGATACTATCAGTGAGTAGCTTTTAATACACAGATAACCACATAAATATCAGTGACACGGATCCTCAATAAATACCAGTTTTAAATAACGCAATGCTACTTTATTTCAAATGGTTTGTCAATTGCGGGTTCGAATCCCGTAGGGAACAAGGATTTGTATGGCCTACAAATAATTGTTACGTGTCTGTATGTTTTGTCCTTGTGAAATTTGTAAACTGTCTCCAAGATAAATTAAAATCCAAGTGTGGTAATCGTAATGGTATATACATAAAGTACATAGGTAAAATTCGGTTGTAGCGTATCTTAGCTAAGATTTACAATCTTACCTACGTTCTTTATCTCTTCTCAAGGGTCTTATTCAAGATTTAAAAAAAAAAACCTAAATAGAATAATTCTATTGGTGTTTTTTTTTTTAAATCTTGTTTATTATAGTCTAGCATAGTATTTATACGATAGTTTGGCATAGTATTATTATAGTATGCCAAACTATTGTAATATCATTAAGATTGCCATCATTGTTTAAAATACTAATTAGTGGGACTCCTTTCCTGCCGAGGACTCCGTCTAGGCAAGAACAAACTCCTTACCTATTTCCGTCGAAAAGCACCAGCGCGGTGCAACCGGAACACAGCAGTCTGAGGGTTAAGAAAGATAGTATAAGTACTGTGAGGCATTCCATGTTAGCTTATTTCCTATATTGCGATAGTGGTTCAAGCCGAAGTTCTTACTTCCCTTCTGAGGAGCCCTTGACATCGAGCCCTTCCCCCTAACTAGATGAGCCACACTCCGAAAGTAGGGGCTGGGGTGTCTCTGGACTGCAGTCGACGACGTGGCGCTTCGTGCCGCCTTGCCGCCGGCAGAATCGTACTTAATAGCTCGTGACTCCTCTCTCGCGAGTCCATTTCGATAAAGCTTCACTTTCAGAAAAAGAAATATCAGTCTATCATATATCAATATATCATATGTCTATGTAAAATAAAATTATTTTATATTTAATGCATGTTGTGATAACCTATAAAAAGAAATACAATTATCATGAGTGTTAAAATATCATGTATCTGTAACACTTTTGTTATTTCTGTTGGTGATCCTAATAAAATCTAACGACTCCGTGGTGCAGTGGCTTAGCAATGAGTAGCTGCGCTGGCGGTCGCGGGTTCGAATCCCGCACGGAACAAGTATTTGTATGGCCTACAAATAATTGTTCCGGGTCTGGATGTTTGTCCTTGTGCAATTTATCTTTGTAAACTGCCCCCACGATACAGGAGAAAATCTTAGTGTATGGGTACCGTTTAAAAAAAACTAAAAAAAAACAAATAAGTTAGTCCACAGAGGCGTCAACGTACTGTAGCCTCCATGTTTTGAAGTTGGTTGCAGATGTCCATGGACAAGGTACAGGTAACCACTTACCATCAGGTGGACCGTAAGGTCGTTTGTCATCACAGTTTTATATTTTTAAATTTTATTCACAGAATATTATATTGAATATTGTCAGCAAAGAGATTTAAATATATATTATATACTATAGAGCGGACATTGCGAACATTTACAGCACGCGCATTTATAGCACGCGCGTGTGTTAAGCCCTCTAGCGAAAAATAGCAATACTACGCTGAATATTTATTTGGAAAATATTTTAGCTATTTCCCGTTAGGTGACGCTTTTAAATATAAGGTGAAAATCGGTTTAAGGCATGTCGTCAATTACTAACATATTTGAAAATAAATAGTGACCTTACTAGATAACAGAGGGCACTTATTACAATATTTTTTTTCTTCTAAAACAATTTACCAAAAATAATAAAACTTAAAGATTATTTAGTAAATATACATTATTCTTACGATAATAAACCGATATCATGTACATTTTTAGTTCCATATCGTGTCTTACTATACCTTAATGCACAACCGGGCATATTTTCTTTAAAAATATTTTTTAAATTTATGGATCGAATGCGTCTTGACCTTTCGGTGATGTCACTTAGACTAAATGACAAAAATCGGAGATATATCCTATACGACAAAAGTTACAGACGGCAATTTTGTTGCTGATGTCCGGTCTATTACTACTACATACCTAAATGTCTTTGATTGTCAGCGACTTGAAAATAATGGAAAAAAATATGTTTCTTTCAGAGTCCTTTACAGCACTCTACTTTGCACCAAATGGCGAGGATAAAAAGTTACCTCTGATAGTGTGGCCGCATGGTGGACCTCATTCTGGATTTGTTAACGCTTATTCCTTGGAAGCGGCTTTGTTCAATATGCTAGGTAAATTTTCACCAATATTTGAAGTAATACACTAATATTTGATATTTTACAAGAAAATGCAATTGTATGGGTGCTCTGGCACAAAATAAGAAAATGATTTAGTGACTGACATAGTATGGGTTTTGGCCGCCCAGGACGATAATATAATGCTCCACCCCTACATCGGCATGACGCGCTTTGCCTACTTTTTTCTTACTACTGGCGTGTGCACGTGTTTTTCGTGCGTGCGTGCGTGCGTGCGTGCGTGCGCGCGCGCGCGCGCGTGTGTGTGTGTGTGTGTGTGCGTGCGTGCGTGCGTGCGTGCGTGCGTTCGTGCGTGCGTGGTGCGTGCGTGCGTGCAGTATGTGTGTGTGTGTGTGCATGTGCGTACGTGTGTGTGTGCATGTGCGTACGTGTGTGCGTGCATGCGTGTGCACGCGCGCGCGTGTGTGTGTGTGTGCGTACACATGCGTGTGTGTCTTTCCTGTTGCGGGGATAGGGATATCATTTTTTAACTATTTATAAGCCAATGTTTGACTACTATCCCCCTACTACTATCGTCACGCTTTGCAGGCGTGTTTACGAACACAGTGCTAGACGTCTCACACCTTTGAAGCTTGCTGTCCATCGCTGGCGTAAGTGTTTTACGTCTGGGTTTAAGCGAGGTGGTTATACCGCCACCTACCGGATGCCATTATATTGTTGCGCGCCATATCTAATGCCTGGTATATGGCGAGTTACCACTAGCGCCATCTAGTATCGAGTAGCAGAACTAGGAGAACTTTCTAGAAAGATAAGAGAAAATTCTAGATATTTCAGTAGATATATAAGGCCGGTAAAGACCGCGACCGTGTCGGTATTGGATTGACAATTCAAGCGAATACTTCGAAGCGATATAACTGCCGTAACCGTAACAATATCTTTCTGGCATTTCCATAGAGGAAACGAGATGATCGGTTCTCTTACTCCGCCATCAGACAGCAAAATTAAATTATATATATTGTATATTAGTGTGGGATATATATTATATCCCACATAACATAAAATAACAATTTTAATAAAAGATATACATTACGGTCTTACCAGTTTTAAGACCTTACAGTTGTGAAATGCTTTTGATATCAGGTGATGCCGCCGCCCGCGTGGGTATTTACGCGGCAGCGTGTATGCTAGGGATGGTCACGAAAATGGAAATAAAATGATTTTGGATATTATAATGCTCATTATCATTTATTAACATTATGTACATACGTATAAGTTAAAAATGTTCATTAGACAAGGTCATTTTTATTACTACAAGAAAAAACTTATTTACAAGTTCTGCACTGCCAAATATTTTCGTGACACTTTCTTTTTATAGATGTTTTCAGTTATCGATTGTTAAATTTAATTATGTAATGTATTCGCATTCAGATAAACTATTTATCAACAAAAAATGAGAGAATCATAAGCATTGCCGTCATTTGAATTCAATTTTATTTAGTAACTCATATAACTATAACAGTAATTCACCATTCTAGATATTATATTTTCGAAAACGACACTTAAAATTAGTTAAATTAGTACCATAAAACACGCTAGCGCCAACCACGTGTATTGTCTATCAGACTCAGTGAAGTATTATTTATAATTTTAGAATATTATTACTTATTTTAAATGTTACATGTTCATCCTCCAAAGAGGTATGCGAATGGAATATTTAAAAAAATGTTAAGAAGTAGTGTATTTTACTTTTGTTAAACTGTGATACTGTTACGAGCTTAGGGTTCGCGACAGTAAAAACTGCCGAATGAATTACTAAAATTGACACTAATTACTGATCACCAATGAATACTTTAATCACACTAATAATTAATCACACTTAACACTTTAGTTCACTTTGTTTCACTCCGAAGGCTTCGCTCGTATCGCCAATTCAATACTGCCCCGATCACGGCTTTCAACGGCTTTATATAGGCTTTTTCCCACCGAAACATCAAGAATACTCCAGCAAATACCGGCCCCGACCGACCAGGTTCAGAAAGTTCGAGTGTGGGGCTTTCTAGAAAGCTTAGTTCTTCCATTCGATACTAGATGGCGCTAATAGGCAGCCGCCACATACCAGGTGCTAATTATAGCGCGCAACAATACTAAAACCTAAAAACTAGGTGGTCTGTGTAGTATCATCCTCTTACCTAGTAGTGCCCAATGTGTTAGCACTTCTGTTTCGATCTGAAGGATAAAGAGAGCCGGTATAATTACAGGTTAAAAGGCATTCCATCTCAACCTTCAGAGGTGCCAACTCAACTTTAGCCTTCATATTGAAGTTGTTGGCATGTGCCCATAGTCTGTAGAAACCACGTACCATCAGGTGGGCTGTAAGTTTGTCTGTACCCCTTTATTTTAGTAAAAGTAATTGGAAATTGCTTTTAGAACTGCAACTAAAACAATACAAAATTCAAATTCTTCGACGTGATTCAACATTGGAAGTACTTTGATAATTAACTAACCAATGAAGCGATAAAAACTTGTAGCTTAGTGGATACAGGTGTCCATGGGTAGCCAGTTCCCATTAGATGGACTGTCAGCTCGTTTGTTACTTGTTTTATATAAAAAAACAGGAATTTATAATAATGGTATAAATAATTACCAAGTATAGCATAGTATATAACTTTAATTATATTTGACATCAGTTATTTTTATGTAATTATTAAAATTATTAAAACTAAACCCGACTGACATTTATAAAATTACTCTTTTTGTAATGAATTGTTTACCTTAATGTAATTGAAATTATATTTTTATTTTTAAAAATTTGTATGTTATGACGAAACCATTACACATATAAGTTTAACTAATACTGTTATGTGTAAGTCATAACAACATTTTATGCAAACTGTTATTTTTTTAATATGAATTTTAAAGACGCATTTTATGGTTCTTTTTGAAACTTAAATTTGATAGGCAAGAATATTATCATTTATCGAATTTAAGAAGTAGAGGTCAACCGTCTAAAAACAAACCATCAAAACCAAAAGTGACTTTTTCTCGTTAACCCTTTAAAACTTCAATTCATAACAAAACTTTCAAAAGCGATTACAAAAAATGTTTTTATAATTCCTTTAAAATATTTTTACCCTGTTCTCCTGAGCTTCTGCATAGTCACCCAAATATTAGCCAAATATTATATATTATAAAAAACCAAATATTATATATTATTATATTAGCATACCATTTCAGGCTTCGCAAGTCTTCAAATAAATTATCGAGGCTCTGTCGGATCTGGGGAAGCGTCAGTCCGTTACCTACCGAAACGAGTCGGGGATGCGGACGTTAAAGACTGTAAACTAGCAACAGATGAGGTCCTAAAACAGCACCCTGTGGACCCTAACAAGTTGTGCCTCTTCGGCGGATCTCACGGTGGTTTCCTAGTCACCCACCTAAGCGGGCAGTATCCCGATCTTTACAAAGTCGTTGTCAGTCGCAATCCGGTGATAGATGTCGCTAGTATGTTCAATTCTACTGATATCGCGGATTGGTAAGTTTTTGGAATGTTTATTGTCAGAAATGGTTTCTCATTTCGCTAAGAATTTCCGCTGTGAGAGGTTTGTCATATGTATAGGACGTACAAGATGTTGAGTGTTAAATATAGTTATAAATATAAGGCTTATTGAAGTAAAACTTCTTTGGGCGCGTCTTGAAAATAACTCAAATGTTTTTACGTAAGTAACGTTTAGTAAAATATATACTGTTTTTACGTTGTTTTCGCATTTATAAATGCAGCGACTAACTATAGTATTGAATATATGTGTTATTTACTCATATATTCAATTTCCACACATTGACAAAGCTATTTCAAATTTATATACATTATTCTTTAATTTATTTCCATTCTTTTTATTGTTCAATATTAAAAAAAAATTATCAACAATTCCCTAGACAAGATTTTCATCTTTATACGTATAAATATTCTACAATACAACTGATTAGAAACCAATGGCTATATGATAGAATCCATAACATACATAGTACAGCTACTAAGACTATAAGATCCTCGAAATACCGTTTAAGCCGTTTAGCAAATTGTAGCCATTTTAAGACCTATTAAAACAAAATTTAAAATATAATTTTAGGAATATTAGACTTTAGTTTTAGCCTATACCATTATTTTTAGTTTGACTAATGACCACTGTACCCCAATGTATCATATACAAGTTTACCTTAAATCTATTTTGCACTTTCAATTCACCAATTATCACCGTGAAAACTCAACTCCAATCCGAGTATAAGATTAATATGTTAAATATATTTTGTAAACGCTGACATTAAATGTCGCCCTCATTCAATAAAGTACGAGGGTGGATTGAAAAGTACTCGGCCTAACACAGATCCATTCAATTCTAAAAATCAAATTTACCCACATTATTTAGTTCAGTTCAGACTAGTTCATTGTGTGAAGTTCGAAACGTGTGCGATAATTAGTTGTGATTTTATAAATTTATTAACAAAGTAATCGGACATAATTTCCGCGAATGGAGCAAATCGAGCAGCGTGCCGTCATTAAGTACCTCCATAAGAAGGGCCTATCATCAAAAGCCATCCATGATGACATACATTAGGCGATTGTGCTCTGTCATATTCATCCGTCAAAAAATGGATAGCAGAATTTAAGCGTGGTAGAGAGAGTGTGAAAGACGAACCCCGCTCTGGAAGGCCTTCGACGTCAACTACTGACGAAAATATTAAAAAAGTACTTGATTTAATAATGGGAGACCGCAGATTAAAAATTAGAGAGATAGCCGAGATTATATGCATCTCTTATGAACGAACTCAAAACATCATTGTCAACGAGTTGGGTTTCCACAAGGTCTCTGCGAGGTGGGTTCCGCGACTGCTTTCAGTTGAACAAAAAAGGACGCGATTGACTATTTCACGCGACTGTTTGGAGTTATTTGAAGCCGATGCAGATGATTTTTTGAATCGTTTTGTTACTATGGACGAAACATGGGTTCATTACTGTACACCGGAAACAAAACAACAATCAAAACAGTGAAGACCTGGTTCACCACCCCCTAAAAAAGGCTAAGTCGATTTTGTCGGCAAATAAGGAGATGGCTTCAGTATTCTGGGACTCGAAAGGTGTGATTATGATTGATTATCTTGAAAGGGGTCAGACTATAAACTCTGATTACTACTGCACCTTACTACGTTGTTTACGAGAGGAAATAAAAGAAAAACGTCGAGGAATGCTCAGAAGAAAAGTCCTGTTTCATCAAGATAACGCCCGTGTTCACACGTCAGTACAGTCAATGGCTGAAATTCACAACTGTGGCTTTGAACTGTTACCGCATCCGCCGTATTCACCTGATCTGGCACCATCAGACTTCTTTCTGTTCCCTAACCTAAAAAAGCACTTGGGAGGTCAAAGATTTTCGACAAACGACGAGGTCAAAGCAGCTGTAGACGCATATTTTGACTCTAAGGAAGAATCATTTTTTTTTCAACGGTCTAAATGCTTGGAAGGGGAGGTGGCAAAAGTGTATTGAACTTGATGGTGATTATGTAGAAAAATAAAAATATAACTGATTTAGTATGTGTTTATTTTCTTGGTTAGGCCGAGTACTTTTCAATCCACCCTCGTATATAAATATTATCTAGTCCTCGAAAATAAAGTTCAGAACTCAATTTAGAACGCTTATCTTTAGACATAAGTTACTGATAGACAATATCTCAATATCTGTAGTGTATTATTTTTCTTGCACAATAAATAACAGCTGTAATACAGAGTTTTTTTTATGCTTTTACCGGTACTGTACAGCGCTACAAACGCGTAAATCTGAATAATTTGTGCAAATTTTTTTACTTATAGGAACTGTATAAGCGCTTATACAGCCAGGAAATATAGACTAGTACAAAAATCGAACTCAAATACAACTCGTACACAGCTAGCATGCTGCTTGGGATAAAGCCACATTTTCTTTTACGCGGGTTTTTATTGATTGATCAAATTCACAATCAAGCGTGTACATTCTTGCATCTTGTGTATTATAAATATTACACGTGACGGATGGTAAAAATCAATTCATGTTCTTGGTCGGTTTTTAATACCATGTGGGTTTTTTCACTATGTTCAACTGACTCTTACTGCTGTCCATGGACACCTGTATTTAACGCCACTTTAAAGTAATGCCAGTTAAATTAAAATCTCACACTTGCGTTACAGCCTTAGAGTATAACTTGCTTATAAATATTCTAAGTTTAAGGCACGCAAAAAGAAATAACAGTAATTAAACCACACCCCGTATGTTAAAATCTATCAAGCCGTTTAGAATACCGAGCTATATACATATCTATATACCTTCGAAAAACATTACCCTTTGTTTGGAACAGTCGGGTAAAGCTAGGGTAACTCCATCTTATCATTTACTAATTTTTAAATATGAATAACGAAAATTTTTATCCCCCTTAATCCTTCTTTGATTATCTTTTATTATTCTACATCCCGTAGGCTTTGCCTCCGTTCGCATAAATTTCCGTGGATCGACTGGCCAAGGTGACAATACAGTACGGTCTCTAATCTCCCACGTGGGAGAATACGACGTCAAAGATTGCCTTCTCTTACTCACCAACCTGAGAGAAAGAGACGCACGATTGGACAAATTGGTGATCTATGGTGGGAGCTACGGCGGATTTGTGGCTGCTCATTTAGCTGGAAGATACCCTGATATGTTCAAGGTGATGGTGTTAAGGAATCCGTTGATAGATCTGGCAACGAAGGGTCATTACGCCGATAATTCTGATGGGTGAGTTGACGTCTAGGCATTATCCTTTATTATTACTTCCGTATCATAATGTTGCGCGCCACAGTTGATGGCACTAGCGCCATCTGGTATCAAGTATCAGAAATAGGAGTGTCAAGAATTAAGCTTTCTAGAAAAGACCACACACGAACTTTCTGCACTTAGTCGGTCGGGACCGGTATTTGCTGGAACATTCTGGATGTTTCAGTGGAAAAGGCCTATTTAATGCCGTTGGAGGCCGCGACCGGGGCAGTATTGAATTGGCGATACAAGCGAAGCTTTCGGAGCGAAATAAAGTGAACTAAAGTGCTAAGTGTGATTAATTATTAGTGTGATTTAAGTTTTAATTGGCGTTCAGTAATTAAAGTGTCAATTTTGGTAATTCAATCGTCAGTTTTTATTGTCACGAACCCTAAGCTCGTAACAATAATATAGTATACGGCAGAGAATATTTTTTTAGTAAAATATTTCGGTCGATACTGAGACAGAGACCGAGAATTTAAAAGTGCTTCAGTGAAGGAAAAAAACACAAAATATATAATACTGAACAACTGCTCACGTAACATTCAGCCATAGACACGACTCTACCGGAGACCGAGGCTTAATTTTTACCCGAGTATAGCCAAGACCAAGCATTATATTGCAGGGTAATAAAGTGAAAAGAAAAATGTTATGTATGTACTATAGCTTTTTAATTTTGTTTATTAACAAGGTTTTTGTCTTAAAATAGTAAAGATTGTAATGTTTCTACATAAATATATTACTCCATTTTCGTCTCGATCAACCTACAGAAGTCCACTTCTGCCTATGGATCTCTCCCGCTTTAGGAATAATGTATTTAGCTTTAATAAATCCTCCCGCTTTCATCTTTACCGCCGTTTGGTATTCCGCTTGGTGATCGTAATATCAGACTCCTTGCATCTTAAGTAATATTCGCCGTCGCCATTACAGGTAATTTACATCCGACATAATATACTAGATAGTTATATTGGCATTTTATTAGTTTTTTACGACGCTAAACTAAATGAAATATATTTCATTTTTAACCGACATTTAAAAAACGGAGGAGGTACTCAATTCGACTGTATGTTTTTTATGTGTGTTACCTCAGAACTTATTTCTAGTTGTACCAATTTGATGATTCTTTTTTTAATTGAAAGCTAATACTTCTCGTGTGGTCCCATATAAATTTGATCAAGACCTGGCCAGCAGTTTTTGAGTTATCATTAATAATGCGTATTTAACTGACTTCGACTACATTGATGACCGAAGCAGCATGCAAGCTGTATACGAGCTGTATTGAAGTTTGTTTTTATACTCGAGTCTGTATTTTATGCCTATATACATTCTGTATAAGTAAGTGCTTATAAGAAAGAATTAAAAAATTGGTACAGTATTGGTATAGTAGCTGTACAAGCATAAAATAGCCTGTATAATGGCTGCATTACAGCTGTTATTTGGTGTGCAATGAAACTATTACGCTGCAGATATTGTCTTATAAGTAACTTTTAAAAATAAGCGTACTAAATAGTTTTAAATGAAATTACAAATTAATATAACACAAAAAGAACTTTCATGGCGTCATTTAATGTCAGAGTATAAAATATACTTAATATATCTGGGGGCACGGCAGTGCCCCCGCCAAGTCGAGCAAAAAAGCGGCACGGCCGTACCATACTTTTCTCGAAGCAATTCAGGCCATTTTCGACTCCTTATAACTTCGTAGTGGATAAGACTAGAAGCCTGAATTTAGCTAATTTGAAGCCTATTAGGCATTGTATAAACATAGTATATTTCAAATTTCATTCAATTTAGACCAGTAGTTAAAGAATTGTAACAAGTCAAAGTATCTTAATTTTGTCACTCACTGACTGACCGATCGTCAAAACTCTAAGGCACTTCTAGCAGACGTTTCAAATTTAGAATACAATTAGTGTTTAGTGTATAAATCAAGGAAAAACTAAAACATTTTTTAATTTCGGTCCAGTTTTCTAGATACACCAACTGCATAAGTAACTTTGTAATTCCATATGAATATATAGAATTACAAAGTTACATTTGCAGTGAATAAATCAGTGTACTTGTATACAAGGCTGCACTAAAAGTATCGGGAATGGAATATTTCCACTGTTCCTGTCATATTAAAATCTTTTTAATTGAAAACTCCTTGGTTTTAAAAATCGAATACCATTTATTATTTAAAAATTCTCGGTCTTGTCACAAGGTTTTGTCAAAATTGTTTAGTCGTTGAGAAAATGGAATTGACTCGAGAAAATTCAAGAGCGATGATTTATTATGACTCGAAGTGGTTTAACACAAAAACAGTGTGTTGACCGGATGATTTCTGCATTTGGTGATGAAGCCCCATCCAAAATCACAATTTATCGCTGGTTTGCTGAATTTCAACGTGAATGTGTCAAGCTCAGTGATGATCCCCGTCCCCGATCCCAAGAAAAAGTTGATGCTATGCGTAAGCTGATTGAGGAAGATCGACATGTGACATACCGCGAAATTCAGGCAACTTTAGACATTGGCATGAGTCAAATACAAATAATCTTGCATGAACAATCAGGTGTAAAAAAAGTTGTTTTCCCGATGGATACCGCATTCGCTCTGTGAAGAGCAAAAAGCTGCTCGCGTTACTTGGCGCGTCAGACCTCTTGAAAGATTCCACGCAAGATCCTCAAATGCTGTATACAAAATCGTATCATGTGACGAATCCTGGATATATGCGTACGTACCCGAAACAAGAAACCAGTCACGAGTTTGGGTGTTCGAAAATGAGTTAAAGCCAACATTTTTGGGGGGGGTTTGGTCAGTTAGACTTTCCGTGAGGGACAAAGAACGGCGTTTATCCGTAAAGAGAACTGCAACCGCCGCATTATCCTCCATCACGACAATGCGAGTTCTTACAACGCACACAGAACAAAAGAGTTTTTAGAGCAAGAAAACATAGAATTATTAGACCATCCGCCGTAGAGCCCCGACCTAAGCCCTAATGATTTCTATACTTTCCCTAAAATAAAGAATAAATTGCGTGGACAGAGATTTTCATCACCTGAGGAAGCTGTGGACGCCTACAAAACGGCCATTTTGGAGACCCCAACTTCCGAATGGAATGGTTGCTTCAATGATCGGTTCCATCGTATGGAAAAATGTGTCAAATTTCGCGGAGAATATTTCGAAAAGCAATAAATACATTTTTAAATAGTAATGTTGTGTCACTTCCTTGATTTCCGAAATTTTCAGTGCCGTCCTCGTATGTATATTAGGTGTGGATAGGTACGTTGTTGGTATTCAAGAGGTAGAAGGTACCGAAAAGGAAAAAAGTAGGACTATCTTATCTACAAAAAGAAATGAGATGCCACCAAAAACATAACTTGTAAAAAAAACCAAGTCTCGTAACTCAGTTCTTCTACCGTAAAAAGTTGTGAGATTCATGTAATACCAAGTCGGTTAATTTATTCAGTCCCTACTTAAGGGTCCTTCTGTTTTAAGTTATTACGTAATTAGCTAACCTCAACATTTTATAGTGATTACAAAAAAAAATTAATTATAAAATAAATAAATACCTACATATTTTCATTTACTACCCGTACCAATTATCTGACTACAATAAAACCTCTTATGTATTCGGTATTTGGCCGAATATTACCTAGATATAAATATTCGGTTTTCGACTGAATGGGATAAAAGTAGCCGAATAAGCCGGATATCGAATAATAGTCGAATGTTCGTGGAAAGTCTAATGCCTTCATTATGCGAGTACAAAATACACCCAATAGAATATAAGTAACAAATATTCCCTTTGGATTTTATTGTTATGAGTTCGGGGAATTTCGAGTAAGACTTCAAGTTACGTTTTACTAACTTCGACTTACAGATTCTGTTTTTTGAAATTCGAGTTATAGAGTATAAATATGTTTTATAATACATATATTATACATATAATATAGGATGCAGCGGTAGGGAATGGATTTTGTCCGACTTACTGAGGATTACGACTTAAACGAGTTCGAGTTATCAATATTCCACTGTACATAATCTAAAAAACAAAAATGTTTTATTTAAAATGTAATTTTTTAAGGATGATGAGACTGTATACCCATCTGCGTAACAAACAAGTTCACCTTAGTCCCAGCCAACGATATCTGGTGAGCTTACCTCATCATTTAAGAACTAAATTATAATGGCATTAACATATTAAATCATAGATAATATTATACTAGTTTAAATCTTATTTAAACTCTCAAACGCCAAGACATCCGTTCGGAGAATCAAATGTCACCTTTGTAGACCCTGCCAAAGAGTATAGTAACACTTAGAAGGGACCCTTAGAACCAAAGAGTATATAACCATAGATAAGAATGCTTAGAACGATTCTTTTTTAAATGTTATTTATAAGAATTATACAACTAAAATTTTATGAGAATTCGTTTCGTTACTAAATTACGCTTCTTAAACTGTAGTATCCTACGAACTTACAGTCCTCCTAAAGATTGTAAGTGGCTATTGCAGCCCATGAAAACTTGCAGCTAAATTGTTAGATGTCACTTTTACGAATTAAGATGAAATGTCCTCACCCAGTGTGGTTGCACGCGCCGAGGGGAGTAAGGTGTGTGATTAGCTAAAGGGCTAGCTAATAAAATATTCCTATGTTGGACAAGGGGGAACCGCCCCCTCCGCGCCGAAGACCACCAGACAGGCGCCCGGGAGTACTGGATAGGCCTCTCATGGAGCGTGACTTCTTCGCTCCATAGAGGTCCCGGGTACTCATACCCATTAGCCATATCCAGAGGCGAAAAGGCAGCCACCGGCCACTGATGCCGCGCTCGATGCTAGTGGAGCTGAGCCTCCACCCTCCGCCGAACAAGCACCACTACTAAGCCGCAACCTAGCCTCGCGGAGAAGGGCTCCACCCGACATTAATCAAGACCAACTGCAGGAGGAGAAATGGCTGAAGGCCGGCTCGGATTCGGTATCCGAATCGGCATCGCCCTCTC